ATATATTAATATAGTACTTTTTTAATAAATTTATACAAAAACTATCAATTAATATTGTACAATTTAAAAGTTTTCAATTTGAAATTAATTGATAAATAATTCATAAATCTCCATTATATTTAAATATGTATTTTATTCATTTTATAAATATTTTTAAACATAACAAATTTATGTAAACAATCGTATCGATCGTCCAATCGGCTGATTTTGACCAGTTCGCTAGTAAATATTTTATTCAAGTAACTGGACTGATCGATAAAATGATTCCCGGTCCATCCAGTCAGACTCTTCGGCCCGGTCCTGTTTTCAAAATAATTGGTAAATCATGATTATTGTTTAAATACAAACGTAATATTATTTCCCGTGCATTTTGAGACTATCAGGTTGAGAGCAATATTGGAATGTGTAGATCCACCATTGCACAATACATGCTTATATTACATGGTAGAACTGAACAAGTGAGCTACAAGGATGACTTTCCAATTTTCCGTTTCGACTTTAGGTTCATCACACTAACTAATGTCGAGAAGATAGACGAATCAATGCTATTTGGTAACTTCATTTTCACTTTTTTTTTTTAATTTTCATTATAAAATTAGCGTTCAATAATATTTTTACTCATATTTAACACATGTTTAGATGTCATTGGGATGGTGGTCGAAATACATCCAATTCAATTGAAGAACGTCAAAGGAGTACAAACTCGCATGATGCTTTTCACTAATGTGTCGCATCTAGCGGAATAGCATCGCTTTTGTTGTCAGGTGGACGAACAGCACATTCTCGATTTGCTATACCATTGAATCCCCACCAGGAACCTACTTGCAACATCAATCAGTCAAGCCCTCTGGCGAAACTCATAATTCGTGCTTCTCTAATAATATGGGATGAAGCGGCAATGATGCACAAACATTGTTTCGAAGCTGTACAAACATCGCTGCAGGGTATTATGGGAGCAATTGATCCTTTGAACCTCAACAAACCGGTTGGTGGATGTGGTCGAGTCTATCAAGGAGTACATGACATCATTGAATTTGTTGGATGATCATATGTACTTGAGCTCTAATAGTACGTGCAAACCAAATTTTAATAATGTTTTTTTGTCTGATCTCCATACGCCTGAGTTTTTTAATAGTATCAAGTGTTCCGGAATACCGAAGCATGAGTTGTATTTGAAGATTGGAAATCCAGTCATGTTGTTGTGGAACATGGATTATTCTATTGGTTTGTGTAATGGGACACGATTGTTTGCGACAAAACTATCCACTCATGTTCTTGATTGTAAGATACTCACAGGAGATCATGCTGGTGATACGGTGTTGATTCCAAGAATGGTCATAACTCCTTCTAATGTTAGAATTCCTTTCAAGTTCTACCGGCGGCAGTTTCCCATTATGGTTTCTTACGCCATGACTATAAAGAAGAGTCAGGGACAATCCTTATCTCATGTTGGCTTATTTCTTAAGAAACCAGTGTTCAGTCATGGCCAGTTATATGTTGTTGTCTCCCGTGTCACTAACCGAAGAGGTTTGAAAATATTAATTTGTGGCGAAGATGACGTGCTAAATAATCAAACCAATAATATTGTGTATAGGGAAGTGTTCAATAATACATGATCTTTTCAGTTTAATTATATGTTTATATGTCTATTCTTATGATCATGATCATTGCGTTATTAGAAAATTTATAAAATTTTCTTCTAAAAAGCTCACGAGTCATAATATCCCCGTGCAGTTGATTGAAAAAGTATGATCATCTAATAATTAATGTTAGAATATGAAATATTTTATATATATATTTATATTTATTATTGTAGGGTATCTTGTTGCCCAAGTAGTTTAGCCCTAGCCTATGTATATATATATTCTTATTCTGTAAGTCATGGACAATTTTTAATATACAAAAAAATACTTCTTCTCCTACTATGTGTTTTTCTGCTTCTTTCTGCTTCTTTCTGACATAGTATCAGAGAAAGGTTAAAAAAAAAATCTCTCCGTTCAAACAATCCGATTAAAAAAAAAAAAATATTGGAATTCTCACGAAAGTGGCAGGGACAAACCATACAGCAAGAAATCCCAATAGAGTTGATTGAATTTTTTTCCCACGAAACAGGAGTGGATTGAATTTTGTTCCAATAGAGTTGATTTCTATTGATTTTTCGTGAATTACCAAAAAAAAATCCCACATCATCCATACATGGGTGACGCTTCTACAACCGGCGAGAGCTCCTCTTCAACGGCTCCTTCTTACAAATCAATTTCTCTTTATGATATTACTTCAAGTCATAATCCCGGCTGTGT